GAATCTTCTGTAAACTTTGATGGATGGAGGAGCACACATAGATATATATATATATATGATGGTATCATTGTTATATTTTTTTTATTTTAATTAATTATTATATTTTTAATTTATTAAAAAATATTAATATAAAGTTTTTTTAAAAATAATATAAAAATATAATAAATAATTATATTAAAAAAATGTGATATTAATTGTTTAAAATATAAGAATCACTCCACCTATATGTGTGTATATATACACCACTCAAGATATAGAAATATAGAAACAATTAAAATGATATTGGAAATTTTGACTTAGGCTCTAGCTAATTAATGTTTTCAAGATTATATATACAATGAAATTAAATTTGAAAGGTTAAATGATAATTTTAGTTCATCAATTTTAAGATTTTATATAATTTTCGTTCTTTAACTTTGTTTTTTGCACTCTTTAGTCCTTTAATTCTAAAAAATACATATTTTTTTTTGTCTATTCAACAATTAATTCGTTAAATCTGCTTATATATATATATATTTAGTTCTTAAACTTAAGAAACCAAAAATGTGCATATATTATAAATTTAAAAATTAAAAATGTGTACATTTGGACAAATTTAAGGAATTAATTAATTTGTTAAATCTACTTATATATACATATTTTTAGTCCTTAAACTTAAGAAACCAAAAATGTGCATATATTATAAATTTAAGAATTAAAAATGTGTACATTTGGACAAATTTAAGGAATTAAATGATTGAAGAACAAAAATTATATATTTTTTAGAATTGAAGAACAAAAAAAATGCACAAAAATATTAAGAGACAAAACTCATGCAAAACGCTAAAGTTAGAGAGATAAAATTGATATTTAACTAATATAAAAGTATTATACTTATAATTATAACATATTACATCTAGTAATATTATAAATTTATAATTATAATATATTTTTATATAATTACTCATTTTATTTAAAAGATCACACATAATATTATAATACACATAATTAATATAAATTTATAATTATACACAACATTATAAGAATATCATTTCTAAATTAAATTCCATGAGATCAACTGCTAAAAATGTTGAGCAATTATGAAATTCAATTTATACAGAATGTACTTCACCCCAAAACGACATGTTTATTTTCTGTTCTTCTGTCCTAAGTTTCTTTTTTTTTTTTTTAATTTTTTTTACATGCATTTAAACTTAAGCTTATCTTAAATTTGTTTGGTTGTAACTTGTAATATCGTTTTGTTCACATAAAAGAATTACACATATATGGGTAGGTATCCCTATTAGTGCAAACATATGCCACTAAATTGGAATTTCACTAAATTAGAATTTAAAAGAGATTAAAGGGTATGGATTATAGAAAGAATCAAAGAATATGTTATTAATGATATTTACTGTTTAATGCTGATGCTATGTGCTTCAGGAATTTTTGTTTTTTTGTTTTTTTTGCTTTAGGATTGTTTTTGCTTTTGTTTTATTTATTTATTTATTTTGAATTGTACAGTAAAAAAACAAGTTTTTTTGCATCTTCTAAAACTATATATATGTGTGTGTATTAAGTCTAATGAAAGAACATTCCAGTGAGAAAAAAGGAGAAAAAAAGGATACAAAGGATCTTTGAAAGTTATGGAGGAAGAGCTAAAGAGCTTTGTTAAGGTATGGTTTTTAGCCATTACATCTCTATGCTACTCTTACTACATTGCAGCAAAGATTCCAAAAGGCTTTCTAAGGCTCCTCTCCCTCCTCCCTGTTATCTCTCTCTTCCTTTTCCTCCCCATGAATCTTTCCTCTTATAGTTATATCATCGCAACATCCATCTTCCTTTCTTGGTATGCCAACTTTAAGCTCCTTTTGCTCTCCTTTGATCATGGCCCTCTATCCCCACCCCCGCCACAACTTCTTCATTTCATCTGTATAGCTTCTCTCCCCATTAAGATAAAAAGGTATCCATCCCAAGATAAACCACAAACTTCATTTCTTGGAACAATTATATTGGCCATAAAAGTTGCAATTACAATTATGCTTTTTGAGGCTTACAACTATGGAAAACACTTGAATACAAATATTGTTCTTGCCCTTTTTCACATCCAATTTCTCTTTGCAATGGAGTGCCTATATGCAGTGTTTCAAATCCCTCCAAAATTCTTTTTTGGGTTTGAACTAGAGCCTCAATTCAACGAGCCCTTACTTGCCAATTCCTTGCAAGATTTTTGGGGCCGGAGGTGGAATCTCATGAGCTCCGATGTACTCCGTCACCTTATATATAATCCTTTACGTCGTATTTCTAAGCGTATTATTGGAGATAGGTGGAAATCTCTACCAGCAATTTTAGGCACATTCTTCGTGTCTGGTTTAATGCACGAAGTGCTTTACTATCACCTAACTCACTTGCCTCCGACATGGGAGGCGACTTGTTACTTTGTTATGCATGGGATTTGTGTGGATGTTGAGATAGTTATGAAGAAGAAGAAGGTGATATTGATAGGGAGAAAACGGCAGTTTCTGATCAATGTAATCTCGAGGCTATTGGTGCTGGCATTTCTGCTGGTGACTTCTATATGGATCTTGTTTGCACCATTGTTGAGAAATGGTTTTTATGAGAAGGTCTACATGGAATACTCCACGGCGATAAACTTTGCAAAGGGAGTGCTACATATACATTGATGTTCTATATGTAAAAATAGCTCTGCAATTATTAAGAATTTATTGTTTCAATCAGTAAAATGTTTCTAGTTTAAATTTAAATAAATTAAGGAAAATGATGATGTATCCTCAATTAATTTTGCTTTTAATACTTTCTTTCTTTTTGGTACAACCCTGCTTGTAATATTCAATC